TTAGGAGATTCGCTGTTCAACCTCCTGCCCTTCCCAACTAGGCGGCACACAGGAAAGCGGGGGTGAGTTTGATTTAGGGTGCTATCGAATCCTGTGACAGTTCGGTTGTATTTTGATTTAGGGGTCTAGCGAAACATCGAACTGACATGTTCCACGTAGGTGATTTTGATTTAGTGACGCTGGTTGGATATATTTTGTAGTGACGCTGGTTGGATATATTTTGTAAATAGTGAACTGACATGTTCCACGTGGGTTCGATTGATTTAGGGGTCACTTATCGCCACACAAATGTGGCTGTATATTTTTGTAAGCAAGTAATTGATATATACTCACTGCAGCTTATTCGGCTGTGTATTTTTTTGTGAAATTAATGAAGTTCATTCTCGTTTAATGCATTTCTATGTTCAAGTGGAAGTCCATAAATTGACACAAAGAACATATCCATAAAATCGCAAATTCATAAAATCGCAAATCCAAAGATCAAATCCATAAATTAACAGATCCATGAAGTTGGTTTTTGTCATAATGTACAGAAAAATTATCCTACAGTTCCAATGAATAAATTGTATCATTGCGATGTTTTCTTCCCATTGTCGTAGTAACTGAGATACCACTAAACGAATTTCTTCAACCCCATTCCTTGGCAACTCCATAATCAACCTCTTTGCTTTCACCTTGAGTCTCCAAAATGCTCACAAGATTTGAAACAGGAACTGGGTTAACAGGGTTAATCTTTCACCTTCGGTAATCTCTCCTAAGCCACAGCAGTCTAGAAAGCTTAATCACCTTCAGGTGCATGGCAAAGGATGACACACTTTCCACAGTTATCAACAAGAGGTCGACTGGCATGACCCATCATTTGCAATAAATCAGTGACTGAGTACTCAATGTGAGCATTTTCCCTGCCATCGTAGTATTGTGTTCCCATAACCACAACCACATGTGCAGACAGGGGCACTCCCCAACACATTGAATTGCTCATAACACATACTTGAATCCATCCAGTTTCAAACAACCATCTTCTGATCTTCACTGCAACAACCGTCACCACCTCCAACCCACCCCCACCGCAAAAGCTTCACCACCTCCAGCCAAGCCCACCGCAACAACCACCACCACCTCCAGCCCAGCCCAGCCCAGTCCACCCACCGCAACAACCCCCACCGCAGCAACCACCCCACGCCACACCCAATCCCCTCGAGTTAAAACAGAGCACTTCGCACTTCACAACACACTCAAAAATCAGCCCAATCCACAAGTTCAGCTTACCCACGATTCAATTGATAACTTACCCATGTTGTCGCCGGCGTCGCATTTGTCGGAGTGGGATTGGCCGGATTCCCCTGCATCGCCGTCAGCTAACTTCGCGGAGGCAGCGTGGTGTGGGGGGGGGGGGAAATTAGAGGGTTGGCCCACACGTCGACGCCGTCACCGTCGCTGGCCAGGTTGCCTGAGGTTTCACCTGCACCCATTGAATCGCCCGGATGGAGCTTCGTGGTGGAGGAGAGGGAAATGGTTGGATTTGAAGAAAAGGCGCCTTGTTTGGGTTTTTGTCCCTTTTTTTTTAAATTGATGGGTTGACCAATTCAAACTCCACGCGACGTCAGCAGGGAAGTAATCTTTGTAGTAAGGTGTGGAGTACGTATAGCATTTCCCTTTTTCTTAATGGAAAATGGCGACCACGGTCCTAAACTTTTCATTTTATTGCAAATTACACCCAAATCTTTAAGTCCCAAACCTTTTATGTAATTGCAGCGTCGGTCCGAAACTTTTTATTTAATTGCAGAGTCGGTCCCAAACCTTTAATTTTTTCAATCGAAGTCCCATGCCTTTGTATGTAATTGCAGAGTCAGTCACAAACTTTTGTATGTAATTGTAGCGTCGGTCCCAAACATTGAATTCCGTCCATAAAATCGTTAGTCAACATTGAAATAGTAATTTTGACTCGAAAAATTTGCATCGTCAGTCCCAAACCTTTCATTTTGTTGCAAATTACACCCAAAACCTTTCATTTTTGCTGCCGTAGTCCCTAATCTTTATATGTAATTGCAGCATTGGTCCATTTCAAGCATTCCGTCCAAATAATTTGTCATAAAAATAATTTATCGATTCGATTATTATAACATATTGGATTGAATTGTTATCTGGTTGGATAGTTATTGATGATGAAAATATAATGGCTATGAAAAAATTGAAAGGATTGTAGAAGATAAACATTTTTTTATAACTTCTTTTAACAATTTTGCTCATCAATTAAGTTGTCATTTGAGTTAAAATTACTGTTTCAACGTTGACTGATGATTTTTTGGATAGAGTGCGTGAAATGGACCAACGCTGCAATTACATGTAAAGGTTTGAGACTTCAGCCGTAAAAATGAAAGGTTTGGGTATAATCTGCAACAAAATAAAAGTTTTGGGATCGGCACTGCAAATTTTCCATTCAAAATTACTATTTCAACATTGATTAACGGTTTTATGGACGGAATTCAAGGCTTGAGACCGACGCTGGGTTTGGGACTTCGGTTTTAAAAATTAAAGGTTTGGGTGTAATCTGCAACAAAATGAAAGGTTTGGGACCAAGGTCACAATTTTCCCTTTTTCTTAATTACCTCAGGAGGGGAGAGATAATATAGTCTAGATGATATGTGATGTGGACCAAAGAGTATTGATTGGAGATGATCTTCAAGTCTACAAAATGGTGCAAATTGTGTGTCCAAAACGTTTTCCGTCGGGTCCGTGCTAGGTACTGTCAAAAAAGTTAAATTTATAAACATTGTCTAATTCCAGGATAATAAGCTATTCCCAAGTGTATACACAATTTTACCTCTTCCAGAACATAGGATGGCCTATGTACAGTGTTAGGCATTAAAGCCATAATAAAAACAGCCATAGAAATCTGTTCAGGGTATTTCTCCATTGCAAAAGCCAAGTTTATGCCACCAAGACTATGTCCAACTCGAACTACCTTTTCGTCCGATGGAATCAACTCCATTACCTTAAACAACGGCAGTGTATAGTCTGGAAATGTGCGAAGCTCATCTAGGCTTCTCGGGTTGATGCCGGAGGGTAAGAGATCAAATGTTGTGACGCGGTGACCAGCCGCCTCCCGCAGCGGTTGTAGCTTGTACCAACTCCAAGTTCCAAGTCATGTACCATGTACGAGGACAAATGCTTTTGTTGATTTTCTTCCATCAGTTTTGATGTGTGTACAGTATTCTGTTATTTAGTAATTGCAATTTGGATTGGGATTTTTAGTTTCCTTGTGGATTTTTTTCTTTTTCTTTTTCTTTTTTTTAAAAAAAACTGTTTCTCCAAGTTTTGAAGCACGTGAGTTTTTCCCTTGTTGGAGATCATGTTCCTCTAAATTCGATTTATGTTATTTCATTGTTGCTATACACTATATATATATATATATA